AACAAACCCCAACTAAAGCAGTAAACATGGGCGTCCGCGGGCTGGATTCGAACCCGCCACCTTAGGTGTATGTGGCTGGCGCCTTAGCCGCTTGAGCCACAGGCGCCGAGCCTTGTTAACAAGTTTTATGTTTAATTATTACAACTGGTTTTGGTGGGGGGGGCGGAATTTTCCAAATTCCAAATATGAAAGTTCCTTAATGACAGAAGAATGAGTATTGTTTAATCAGGGAGAAAGTTGCCAACCACCACCATCCTCTCTTCCTACTTTCTTAGAATAATTGGTATCTCAATTATTTACTTAGGCATATCTTTAACATGTTCATAATAATTGTTTTATTAGGCTTTCTATAATTATTTTAATCCCCACTCCATCTCACCTATTATTTTTAAATCTGTTCATTGGTTTTTATTCAATTTTTATATCCTGTTCCCACGTTTTAAACAGAAACAGATTTTTTATTTCTCTTATTTTTCCTAGTGTCCTGTCTGTTCTAGCAAGCTGTCTTTCTTTTATTTTTATTTCCAGCCCCTATGAAATCTTTTGTTCTAATTTTTGCCTGTACTCAAACATTAATTGCTTTAATGTTACACATTAAACATTTGTCATATATCTTTTTGCTCATGCGGGTCACAACTCTGAATATTTTTACTTTTAAAAACGTAAGAGAGATTAAGACAAATTTCTGAGTCCTAATCTATTGCTGCGTTGATTGTGCTTTATTCATCTCTGAGATTACTACTCCTGTTTACTAAAGAATTATAGAACACACTGTACTGGTACTGATGGCAAGCTTGTTAAGCATTCCTCCAAGTTTTCCTGCTGTTTAAAAGGTTCTTTAAGCAAAAGCATCTCACTGTGTTTGAGAGACGGGAAGAGGAACTTGATTCTACTGTATCTAGGTTTTTCTTTCAGTTTTAGATTTGGAGAGTAAACACATGGTTAGTTACAAAGGCAGAAGAGCAGAGAGCTTCCACAACCTTGATTCACTGCCTTCAAAGCCCAGGAGGGGAAGTAGCAATAAGCAAGCCAGTTATGCTTTGTAGCTCCACCCCAAGAAAGAGGGAGGTGACAGGAAACTAGGTTGGAGAGAAGTGGTAGCTATTTTTCATTCTAATTTTAATAGGCAAATAGCCATTCCAAGGAAAATGGTATATTCCTCTTAGAAGCTGTTCTGCCCTGTAGCTAGTTTAGTTCCAAAACACAAGTTGTGTCCTCCTTAACCTGAAAGTAGGAAAAAACATTCTCATGTGTGGCTTTCTAAAACTATGACCATCTCAATCACATAAAATTAGAGACTGTTTAATGTTTATATATTTGGTTGCTAATTCTTGGCTGCTATTACATGTCAAAACACTAAATTAACCCCCTTTCCTAATGGAATAAATCATCCTAGCAGTGGTAGTATTTAGGAAAAGCCCCACTTCTTTAGTGATGGGAAAGCCATTGCAACAGAAATTTTGATGCGGGTCATGATCTCAAAGAAAATTATGTCCACTAACATACTGTCTATTGTAGTTTAGAAATTTGGTTAACTTATCTCTTTATACCACTCTCTGTAGTACAACTCTCTGGGTTAGAGAACTTTTATCAGTTTCTATCAGTAATGCATATACCATATTTCATTTTAAATTGTGTTTCAGATTTAATTACTTGATGAACTGTATCCAAACTAAGATGAATCATTTTTTCCTGCTTTTTCTGCTATGTAGCTTTTTAAAAAATTTCTGACTTCTCATTTTTTTTGTAGATTTCTCCTGTTCACATTACTTTAATTCTGTACTGACTTCTGTGCTATTTCCTATCCTAACACTGCAACATAACCCTACAAATCTCTGAGCTCATGCTGTGTTCTAATAATTTCAACTAAATCTGTACTAGCTAATATGTCCTCAGTTTTCTTGCCAACTTATTCTTTTAGGCAAACTATATAAAAAATATGATTTGCATATTTAAAAAATATGCTGTGAACAAAAAGAGCAATGCTATTAAATTACTGTTTATACTTATGAAATTATATTTTTAAGTACAGGAGTTTAGTAAATCCCTTTCATAATGAAAAGGGTATTACATTTCAAGTAATTCACATTAAAAGACACTCTATTCAATAGATGTGTTTATTGGTGGGTCAGTTTTGTCAGTGTTTTAATTCACATATAATTAATGTAGACCCTATGTCAGCAACAACAATACTACTTTAACTGAAAAATGACAAACTGCTTCCATGTATGTGCTCTGTGATTATTTTATAGTCCTCAAATTTTGTAGTCTTTTACAGAAAAAAAAGAAATAAGCCTGGTGATAAACTATAATTTGCTAAAACACATTTTCTCCAAATCTTAAATATAAAATACAAGACCTTTTTTGTTCACTCTTTTATAGAAAAAACAGATTTATAATTGATTTCTTTATTTTATTAGATTTATCAATATACATGGCAACTTTCTCAATCTCAAAGTTCCAAAAGCATGTAATTTTAAAGGTGAAAAAATCACTTTCTTTAGGATGTCATATTCCTAGACAGCCATTAAATTCTATTTATAAACAAAAATACTTGATAAACTAACATACTTTAGAAATCAGAGCATTTTAAATTAAAATATTTTTAATGAATACAAGATATGTCTTTTTTAATTAACTATCATAGTTAAATTTAATATCACAAAACAAAATGGCTTATCCCCACTAATTTTTCAAGTAGGGAAAAGTCATTGAGATTTACACTTAATGTAAGTTTTAAATGTAATTATTAAATGATAATATTTTATCAAATATGGGAAATACTCATTTATAAGATTTCCTCTGGTCCATCAATCTTTTTAGGCCAAGTTTGAGCCCATGTCAACCTTAAAGGTTAGAATCAGTGCACCTAACTTGCCTAATAAGCTTGTCAATTTAAAAATATGAATTTTATTGATAATAGGGAGAATAAATAGTAGCTAACTCACTATTCAACCGGAAAACAAAAACCAAAAACTAAAAGTGAAAGGGATAGTTTCAAATAATTACTTTAAGGAATTTTTTAAATATAAGCAGGAATGGCCAATGATGTTAGGTTTAAAATTTCATGGGATAACCTTTAAAAAGAAACACGTAGAAATAGTGAAGTCATCACCTTATTGATAAAAAACTAAAGTTTAATAATCATTGAAGGGGTAACAACCACTTGTCTACAATTAAAAGTAATTTTAATCATAGCTAAGAAAAACTAAAAACAATGAATTCTATTAAGAAACAATAAAAATGATAAACATTTAACACCTAAAATGTAAATACTTAAGATCCTAAACAAAAATATTAAAGGTAAAAGGGCCTTGAGATTTCTTCCAACAATTCATCTTATAAAATCAATTTCTAAATAGCCATATCATCCTTAGCTTTGGTGTTTTGTCTGCTATCATCTAAACATTAATACAGTAGAAAAATCACTTAGGTTCTTTTCAAATGCTTGGCATTATAATGTGATCTCATATCTTTCCTCAAATTAAATTTTGCTCCACATATTCCACATGTATACAGATGAACATCCATGTGCTGCTCCAACTGTTCATTATTTGGGAATATCTGAAAGCAGACCTGGCATATAGTCTCACCAGCAGATAAATGAGAAATCATATGCCGTACATGGTCATGTTTTCTGAAGTTTCCTTGATCACAAATGGAACAGACATACCTGGCCATGCCTTTGTGCATGTCATTGTGCAGTCGCAACTGACGTTCTCTTAAAAATTGCTTTCCACATGTCTGACAAACAAACTGTTTTTCCTTTGTATGGACAGTATAGTGTTCCCTTAAATGACACCGCTGATAAAATCCTTTTCCACACAGATTACAAAAATGCTTTCGTCTGTGATCTCTTTCATTTTCTTCCATCATGGCACTCTTAAACACATCTTGATCTAGGCAGCTAGACATATGTTCAACCACGAGGTTTTCAGTTTCAAAACGCTGGCCACAATTAGGACATCGGTAAGGACAGGCTGAATGTTTAAATAACTGCTTTTTGGGGATACTGTTTATCTGGTAATGATTGTCCCTGAAATCATCCAACATTTCAACAAACATATCTCTTATTTCAGACTGCTCGTCAGGATTCTCCTCCATGTCCATTTTCTCCTCAGTATTTCCTAACCCGTTCATTGTCAGATCTTGGGGTTCTCCACATCTTTGCGCATGTTCCTGAAGCTGTCTACCCTTGACAAGTATTTGTCCACATTTACCACACGCACAGATATTTTCAATGTGTTTGGCTAAGTAATGAGATGACAGGTCCTCCTCAGTTATTGTGAGGCCACACAGCTCACAAGATGCGTTTTCAGTATCCTCTTGTACTGGACTGCTATTGTTAGGGGGCCTGATACTTTCTAAACCACCACTCTCATTGGTGTTTATGGACATGCGAGGTTTTAGAGTTTTCCTACCACTTTTTTTAATGCTGACATCTTCTTCAACATAGTATCTATAAAATGGCTCTTCAGGTTCATCTTCTAATTCATCATTGTCAGTGGACTCGTTACAGTCTTTATCAGTAACCTTAATGATGTTAAAGTCTTTTAGTTCATCTGTAGGAATATCTTCTGGCTCCATCTTGATGATGATTCTTTTCCTCTCAGCAGCTCTGCTTTTTTCTTCATTGGCCATTTCAGACTCCACTGTGCTACTCTTTCTGCTTCCGGTGGTTGAAGCTGAATCATCAGCAGCCTGGCTTGTGTCTCCTCTGTATTTGTCTGTCTGTGCTGAAAATGTTTTAGAAGAATCCTTTTCACCAAATTCAGCTTTGATGTTATTGTCTTTTCCATCTCTGATATCTACTATTCTGTGGTAAGATCTTGTGTTTTGGTATGAATGTCTGTTAGTACAGGTTAGCACATGCTCATCTAATAATTTTTCACAGCTAAAGCCAAATCCACAGCTATCACAGGTAAAACTCCGTCCAAAGCGTCGTGACACACGTTCTTTTGGAGTAGATAATTTGGACACAGAACTTTTTTTACATACATCAAATAATGGTTCAGGAAAATTACCTAATTGTAAAGACTCTTCATCAGGCTCTCTATTATGTGGTGTATTTACTGTTGAACTTGGCTCAGCACACCACCTGTTGGCTTCATTGCCATTTCTAGCCACAGTATCTTCATACATTCTTACCCCAAATATCATTTTGCTGTTCTGCTTGCTGGAAGCAGAAGATGAACATTTTGAACTAGAACAATCTGAGTCCTGTATGTCTTCTAAGCAGTCAGGAACATTGTACAGCTGTAGGTAGTTCATTGCCACTTTAAACTGCTCAAAACTGGAGGGAGCTGTCATAATTTTTCCTAAATACATAAATTGCAAAATGAGATCAAAACATTCTGCACTAATTTTCATGTTGCTTAGATTCAGTTGTGCAGTACTATGCTGATGGTTCATGAAAAACATTCTAAAATAGGAGCTGCAGGCAGCTAGAACTGCTTTGTGTGCTTGAAAGTAAATGTCATCAATTGCGATACAACAGTCACAGAGAAAACCCCATTCTCTTTGGTTGTTTAGCTGCTGAAGGACGTAGCTGCTGTGGCTGGGCTTTGCCATCTTCTATAATTAGAGACCTATGTAAAACAAAAATATTAAATTAAGACAAGATGTCAGAAAAGTAGTTGGAAAAAGTAATTTTTATCATCATTATCGACTTCTATGGCTTTGTTGTTATAATCAATAGATGAATAGGGCCCGATACTGTGGCTCATGCCTGCAATCCTAGGACTCTGGGAGGCTGAGGCAGGAGGACTGCTTGAGATGAGTTTGAGACTAGCCCAAGCAAGAATAAGACCCTACTCTATTTCTACAAAAAGCAGAAAAATTAGCCAGGAGCTATACAGGGTACCTATATATAGTTCTACCTACTCAGAAGGCTGAGACAGGAGGATCACTTGAGCCCAAGAGTTTGAGGTTGCTCTGGGCTCTAATGATGCCACTGCACTCTAGACCATGTGACAGAGCAAGACTGTTTCTGATTTAAAAAAAAAAAAAGAATAGCTTTCCATTCTAATGTAGTAAAACTGAGTAATATATACCTGATTCTTTAAATCTGAAGATGCTCAGCCATTTATTCAGATTCTTCATATTGAACAAAGGCATCAAAAACAAAAACTGTAATTTTGGTTTCGTTGCAACTCTGGGGGGAAATGTATACTAAATTTGAAAGGAAAAAAGATAATTTAAAATTACTTGAAGGATATGAACAATGAGAGTAAATAAGGTAGTAATTTAAACTGAAAGTTAATAACTAGATTATAGAGTACTAAAAACTTTTTAGATTATTGATATTAAGGACCTATTTAGTTCACTTTATAAGTATGATAAGGGTATTTTGGTTACATTTAAAAAGAGTCCTTCTAGGTGTAAAACACACTGAAGAATTTATAGATGAAATACCTGAGATATGTTTCCAGATAAATGGGTTGGGTGTGAGAGCTATAGATGATACCAGATTGGCCATGTATTGAAAACTATTGAAGCTGGGAGATAATTCTCTTTTTGTATATGTTTGAAATTTTCCATTAAAAAAAAAAAAAACTCTACCTAAAAAAACCTTACTAGATATTATAGAAATGGCATCAAACAAGTAAGCTTGATTAGTGCCTTTCTCTTTTCTTGAATTATTTGAGAAGCAATAATTCTAGAGAGTTAGACTATGTCTCAGATTGCCTGGCACATACATTAGGGTATGAAGCAGTCAGTTTACTGGGGAGGGAATTATCTATACTTAAAGAGTATGCATTTTTCTAATTGTTAAAAAAGTATACAAAAGTACACATAACTCATGCTCATTGCAAAAAATTGAAATACAGAAGTATAAAAAATAAAAACACACCACAGGTCATATGTCTCTTTCTAGAGGTAACCCCTCCAAATACAGCATATTTTGTACCTACTATGTACCAGGAACAGTTTTGCACTTGTATTTTTAACCTAAATGGTATCATATTACCTATACCTTTCTACAACTAGTTCTCTTCACTTAACAGCATTGGTGGACACCACATTTTTTTTTTTAATGTACTGACTTTGGGTAAAGGAGAGGAAAATATTAAAAGCACTGTAGTCCTATGTATTATATTACAAAGGCAAAATAAGATCCAATTTTAGCATTAATTATTAATCTTTATAAAGCTATCTTCTACTTTTTAAAAATAAGTTCCTATGCAATTTGAACTTAAAAATAAAATGTTCACACTTTAGTCCTAAAACTCTTCAACTCCTCTTACTAGTACTTAAGAGAGCATATAAGTTTATTTACTTCTACTTGCTCTTCATCTGTTCCTCAAGATCAAATATAGACACATATCCTTTTTCTTACTACCTACAGGCCTATCGTGTCACCTCAAAGACATCAAGGTTCCAATGCCAGACATATAGTACTAGTGAAATGAAGGTGCCTTATAATGAGACCTGCTGCCTTCTTAAAATTGCAACCACTATGCTTTTTCTGGAAGCCAGATTAAGTGTTTCAAGTAGGTGCAATATTTCAAACCTCTATAATTCAAGATATCTGTACAAAATTGTGAGGAATCATGTTCCATGTGTACCTAAATATGAAAAGCAATGTATGCACAAAGATATTCATCAATGTGTTATTTATAATTTGAATACCTGGTAGAAAGGGAGTGGTTAAATAAACTAAGGTAAATCTATTTCATTCACTGTCATGTGGCCTTTAGAAATTATAAATGAATTATAAAAGAAGAGGGAAAAATCTTCAGGACAGAGTCAAATAAGGACAGGATACAAGGCCAGGCATTGCGCTCATGGCTGGGTACAGTGGCTCAAAGCTGTAATCCTAGCACTCTGGGAGGCCAAGGTGGGAGGATTCCTTGAGCTCAGGAGTTTGAGACCAGCCTGAGCAAGAGTGAGACACCCAAAAATCTCTTACTAAAAATAGAAAAAAAAAAAAAACCTAGCCTGGCATCCTGGTAGGTGCCTATAGTCTCAGCTACTTAGGAGGCTGAGGTAAGAAGATCACTTGAGCCCAAGAGACTGAGATTGCTGTGAGCTATACTGATGACACCATGGTACTCTACCCAGGGTGACAGAGTAGGACTCTGTCTAAAAAAAAGAAGACAAGATACAAAATTATGTTGTAATGAGACTTATCTAAAACAAATTCACACAATAGAACCTTATTCAAAAGGTAAAAAAAAGATTAAAAAAATACAGTAAAATGTTGACATAAGCCCTTTTTAAGTAGCATGTGATTTCTAGGTGGATAGTTATTTTGGTAAGACTCAGAGAGACCTTTAATGAATAATAAATCCTAGAGAAAGAGACAGGGGGATAGACATTACCCCTCCAAATACTTTCTATTAAAAAGCGTAGTTCAAAAATGAAACAAACTTATTTAGAGGATAATGATAACTGAGGATAATTTTGGCTTTTCTTGGAGTAGTGATTTCATTCACCATGTACTCAGTAAAATGCCCACTCTATGGAAGAAGGCTATGGGCTACAGTGGGGGAGAACGAGGTTCACATCTATACTCCTATCTTTCCCCCCAAAAGTTGGAAGCTGAGCAAGTGCTATATCTAATTTTTTTTCTAACACAGTTTCTAGAATGACTTAGAATTGTTAGTATGAGCAACATTATTATGCAAATGTCCAAGTTCTCTGAGTAAAACTGATTTTAGGTAATTTTCATTCACACTTATGTACCAGCAACTTTTTGTTACACCCATTAAGGAAGCTTAATATACCAAAAAAGGTAGAGGGATGTGGGGCAGAGAAGGAGGGATCTAAATTCCTGTAAGACTTTCAGCTTGTTATCCCTTAAAGATGATTTTTGCATTAAAAATTCTTAGAACACATTTTTTTTTTTGAGACAGAGTCTCACTATGTTGCCCTTGGTAGAGAGCTGTGGTGACACAGCTCACAGCAACCTCAAACTTTTGGGCTTAATGAATTCTCTTGCTTCAGCCTCCCAAGTAGCTGGGACTATAGGCACCTGCCACAATGCCTGGCTATTTTTTGTTGCAGTAGTCATTGTTGTTTATCTGGCCTGGGCTAGGTTCGAACCTGCCAATTTTGGTGTATGTGACTGGCGTTGTGACCACTGTGCTACAGGCACTAAGCCAGGAAGCTTGCTCTTTCTTCATTTTTTTGACATCCTTAATAATGCTAACAAAAAAATTTAATGAACATTACCTGTAATGTGCAAATGTAAAGTATAAAAAGTTTTAAATAAAAGGTTGCTTATACTTCAGTTGTCCTTGCTTTTATAGTGAAATCTGATTGCTTTTGATTTTCTTACTAGGTGCATCACTGACTGATAGGACAAAGTTTATCACTGCTAGAAGTCAAGGGCTGGGCTGAGTGCAGAAACTTCAAATGTGATTCAAAGGACATTAAGTCCTTTGGATACGGACCACCAGGTATTCCCTAAGGCTAGAAGGATTCGCAGTCTGCGGTACTCCAGCAAGAATAAGAAGTTGGGTAATCCAAAACACTGGATCTTTTCTTTTTCTTATAGAGACAGAGTCTCACTTTGTTGCCCTGGGTAGAGTGCCGTGGCATCACACAGATCACAGCAGCCTCCAACTCCTGGGCTTAGGTGATTCTCTTGCCTCAGCCTCCCGAGTAGCTGGGACTACAG